GTGCTGAAACCAGCGAATCGCCTGAGACATCCTCCAAATCTGTTCCAGAAGCGAAACATGTTGGAAGAGAAAATGGACAAACCGCCTTAGACATCCCTACAAAATCCAGCGAAAGGGACCGAATGAAATACCCACCCCGCCGCTCCCCTTATAGTGTTGAAGCCAGCGAATCGCCTGAGACACCCTCCAAATCTGCTCCGACAACGAAACATGTCGGAAGAGAAACTGGCCAAACCGCATGAGACATCCCCACAAAATCCCGCGAACGGGGCCGAGTGAAATACCCCCCCGCCGCTACCCTTAGGAGTGCTGAGTAGCAAACCTGAGAGCGACTGATTCTGAGTGTGAGTTAACCTGGGTGCGATTGAGCCTGGGTTTGAGTGGGTATGCGTGTGAGCAAATATGAGCGCGAGTGCGTCTGTGTGCGAGTGGGTCTGAGTATGGACGAATCTGAGTGTGAACCAGTCTGTGATTGAGCGGATCGTAGCATGATGAGTCTGAGCATGAGTGAGTCTGGGCTTGAGTGGGTCTGAGTGTGAGAAAAACTGTGTGTGTGTGTAATGACTCTGGGTGCGGGTGAGCCGAGTGTGATTGGGTATGGATGTGAGGCAGTCTGAATGTGAGTCGGTCTGCGTTTGAGCGGACCGAAGGATGATGAGTCTGAGCAGGAGCGAGTCTGAGTATGAGTGGTTCTGAGCGTGGGTCTGAGTGTGAGTAAGTTTAAGTACGGGTATGAGCGAGTCTAAGTGCGAGTGAGCCTGCGTGTGACTGAGTCTGAGTATGAGTGAGTACGAATGCAGAAGATTGAAGGAGAGCGGAGGGCGAAGGAGAGTGAAGCGGACGCGTTTGGGTAAAACCTAAGGCTTTGGAACATCGAACCTCGATCGTCTGGCCCTGGCTACTCGAGTTGCCCACGTCCTCCTCCTCCTCCTCCTCCTCCTCCTCCTCCTCCTCATCATCATCATCACCATCATCATCATCCCCTTCCTGCTTCTGCTCCTACCGTGTTCATGCTGTCCTCCTTCTCCTCCTCCTCCTCGTCATCGTCCTCGTCCTCCTCCTCATCGCTTCCTCCTTATCTTCCTCCTCCTCCTCCTCCTCCTCTTCCTCCTCCTCCTCCTCCTCCTCCTTCTCCTCCTCCTCCTTGGGAGTGCTGAAACCAGCAAATCGCCTGAGACATCCTCCCACAATTGCTCCGAAAACGACAGATGCCCAGCATCATAACGGCCAAACCGCCTGGGACATCCCCGCAAACTGGGCGCGAACGTCGTCCAAATCTGCTCCGAAAGCGAAACATGTTGGAAGAGAAAATGGCCAAACCGCCTGAGACATCCCCACACAATCCCGCGAAAGGGGCCGAATGAAATACCTCCCCGCCGCTCCCCTTAGAGTGCTGAAACCAGCGAATCGCCTGAGACATCCTCCAAATCTGCTCAGAAAGCGAAACATGTTGGAAGAGAAAATGGCCAAACCGCCTGAGACATCCCTACAAAATCCCGCAAAAAGGGCCGAATGAAATACCCCCCCGTCGCTCTCCTTAGAGTGCTGAAGCCAGCGAATCGCCTGAGACATCCTCCGAATCTGCTCCGGAAGCGAAACATGTTGGAAGAGAAAATGGCCAAGCCGCCTGAGACATCCCCACACAATCCCGCGAAAGGGGCCGAATGAAATACCCCCCCGCCGCTACCCTTAGGAGTGTTGAAACCAGCGAATCGCCTGAGACATCCTCCAAATCTGCTCCGAAAGCGAAACGTGTTGGAGGAGAAAAAGGCAAACCCGTCTGAGACATCCCCACAATTACTCGACGCGGGGCTCCCCATATGTGTATCCCATTCTCTTGGCACGTCTTTCTTTTGATATCTGTCAATGAGCGCCTGTGTGCGAGGGCGAACCGCTCGCTCGAGACGTCCCCACAGTCTGCAAGCACGAGTGCGACCAATAGCAAATCTGAGAGCGACTGGTTCTGAGTGTGAGTTAATCTGGGTGCGATTGAACCTGGGTTTGAGTGGGTATGCGTGTGAGTAAATAATATGAGCGCGAGTGCGTCTGTGTGCGAGTGGGTATGAGTATGGACGAAACTGAGTGTGAGCCAGTCTGTGATTGAGCGGGTCGTAGCATGATGAGTCTGAGCATGAGTGAGTCTGGGCTTGAGTGGGTCTGAGTGTGAGAAAAACTGTGTGTGCTAATGAATCTGAGTGCGAGTGAGCCGAGTGTGATTGGGTATGGATGTGAGGCAGTCTGAGTGTGAGCCGGTCTGCGTTTGAGCGGACCGAAAGATGATGAGTCTGAGCAGGAGCGAGTCTGAGTATGAGTGGTTCTGAGCGTGAGTCTGAGTGTGAGTAAGTTTAAGTATGGGTATGAGCAAGTCTAAGTGCGAGTGAGCCTGCGTGTGACTGAGTCTGAGTATGAGTGAGTATGAATGCAGAAGAGTGAAGGAGAGGAGGGCGAAGGAGAGTGAGGCGGAAGCGTTTGAGTAAAACCTAAAGCTTTGGAACATCGAACCTCGATCGTCTGGCCCTGGTTACTCGAGTTGCCCACGTCCTCCTCCTCCTCCTCCTCCTCCTCGTTCTCTTCCTCCTCCTCATCATCATCATCAACATCATCCCCTTCCTGCTTCTGCTCCTACCGTGTTCATCCTGTCCTCCATCTCCTCCTCCTCCTCCTCGTCCTCTTCCTCCTCCTCCTCGCTTCCTCCTTCTCTTCCTCCTCCTCCTCCTCCTCCTCTTCCTCCTTCTCCTCCTCCTCCTCCTCCTCCTCCTCCTCCTCCTCTTCTTCCTAGGGAGTGCTGAAACTAGCAAATCGCCTGACACATCCTCCCAAAATTGTTCCGAAAACGACAGATGCCCAGCATCATAACGGCCAAACCGCCTGAGACATCCCCGCAAACTGGGCGCGAACGTCCTCCACATCTGCTCCGGGAGCGAAACGTGTTGGAAGAGAAAATGGTCAAACCGCCTGAGACATCCACAAAATCCCGCAAAAGGGGCCGAGTGAAAACCCCCCCCGCCGCTCCCCTTAGAGTGCTGAAACCAGCGAATCGCCTGAGACATCCTCGCAAATCTGCTTCGAAAGCGAAACACATGTTGGAAGAGAGAATGGCCGAACCGCCTAAGACATCCCCACAAAAATCCCGCCCTAGGAGTGCTGAAGCCACAGAATCGCCTGAGACATCCTCAACATCAGTGTGTGTGTGTGTCATCCGATGAGTGGACCTGAGTGAGTGTAGTGAATGTATGAATACAAGTACGAGTGAGTCTGAGTGATGAGTGGGTCTGAGTGATGACTGAGTTTGAGTGATGAGTGAGTCTGAGTGACGAGTGATGAGTCTGAGTCATGACTGAGTCCGAGTGATGAGTGGGTCTGAGTGATGAGTGAGTCTGAGTAATGAGTGGGTCTGAGTGATGAGTGAGTCTGAGTGATGAGTGAATGGGTCTGAGTGAGAGGAGTGGTGTGTTCTCTTTCCTCCGGCGCGGTCAGCCAATAACAAGAACCCCATACTTAGGATATGGGGTTAAATCCGCAAAAGGGGCCGAAAGAAATACCCCCCCGCCGCCCCCCTTAAGTGCTGAAACCAGCGAATCGCCTGAGACATCCTCGCAAACTGCTCCGAAAGCGAAACATGTTAGAAGAGAGAATGGCCGAACCGCCTAAGACATCCCCACAAAAATCCCGCCAAAGGGGCCGAGGGAAATACCCCCCCGCCGCTCCCCTTAGGAGTGCTGAAGCCATAGAATCGCCTGACACACCCTCAACATCAGTGTGTGTGAGTCATCCGATGAGTGGACCTGAGTGAAGGTAGTGAATGTATGAGTACAAGTACGAGTGAGTCTGAGTGATGAGTGAGTCTGAGTGATGAGAAAGTCTGAGTGATGAGTGAGTCTGAGTGATGAGTGATGAGTCTGGGTCATGACTGAGTCCGAGTGATGAGTGGGTTTGAGTGATGAGTGGGTATGAGTGATGAGTGGGTCTGAGTGATGCGTGAGTCAGAGTGACTGACTGAGTCTGAGTGATGAGGGAGTCTGAGTGATGACTGAGTCTGAGTGGGTCTGAGTGAGAAGAGGTGAGGTGGTGTTATGTTCTCTCTCTGTTCCTCCGGCGCGGTCCGCCAATAACAAGAACCCCATTTCTTTGGATCCCCATATGTGCATCTCATTCTCGTGGTACGTCGTCGGATCGGATAGAAAACTCGCAGGAGGAGGAGGAGGAGGAGGAAGAGGAGGAGGAGGACGAGGAGGAGGAGGACGACGAAGAGAACGAGGAGGACGACGACGAGGAGAACGAGGAGGAGGACGGGGAGGAGAACGAGGAGGACGACAAGGAGAACGAGGACGACGACGACGACGACGACGACGAGGACGAGGAGGGAGAGGGCGGCCGGAGGCAGCTTCTGTGCCCCCCGGGGCCCCTCGGAGCCGCTGCGTGCAGCTCGGCCGACCGGCGCGGCGACGCCATCAAACCGCCAGGCCGCTGGACTTCGTCGTCGTCGTCGTCGTCGTCGTCGTCGTCGTCGTCCGTCGTCCGCCGTCGTCCGTCGTCCGTCGTCCGTCGTCCGTCGTCCGTCGTCCGTCGTCCGTCGTCCGTCGTCGTCGTCGTCGTCGTCGTCGTCGTCGTCGTCGTCGTCGTCGTCGTCGTCGTCGTCCGTCGTCCGTCGTCCCTCGTCCCTCGTCCGTCGTCCGTCGTCCGTCGTCCGTCGTCCGTCGCCCGTCGTCGTCGTCGTCGTCGTCGACGTCGTCGTCGTCCGTCGATGTTGTCGTCGTCGTCGAGGAGTGAGACGAAGAGGAACGAGAGGAGAAAGAGAAAGAGCAGGACGTTAGGGCATGTACCCAGACCGCTTTCGCCAGTGCGCAGCGTACAGCGAAGGGTTAAAAGCGAAACGAATTCAACTGTTTAAAATCTGCGTTTAAACAGTCGATCCTCTCAGTGAGGCCGTCCTTTGCGGATCCGACTGAACACACAGGTTAAATTAGCCATGCAAACAACTGCTCAATGTTTATCCCCGCTGATCCTCTCAGTGAGGCCGGACTTTGCGCCTCCAGCTGGTTTAAACACAAAAGTTGAACAGATGTTTAGCTGCACGCTGCCAAGCTGCTGGGAGGATGTGGAGAGGAGAGAAAAGAGGTTACCTCGCATGCGACATCTCTTACAGTTAGCGCCTGGCCCGCGAGCGCGAACATCTTGTCTACCTGTTTAGCGGCGGTCGCGGGCGCGTGAGCGCACTTCCAAGGCTTTCGCAGATCCGCCGACCCCTCGTGGGTCTCTGGGCGCGTGAGATTCCCCTCCAAAAATTCTTTCTCACCCACCCCCCCGGGGCCCCAAAACTGGGAATTTGACCCCCCCCCAGGCCGGGGGGGATTAAGGGTCCCCCGACGACCCAAGAGGGCCCCAAGACGCACCCAAGACGGTTCAAGAAGGCCCCGAGTCTCTGAAAGATCGCTCCAAGACGCCCAAAATAGCCCCAAGACGGCTGAAGAGCCCTCCAAGAGCACTTCCAACAGGCCAAATCATAATTGTTCTGAAAAAATATGTGGAGGATTTTGGTGTTCTCGCCTTTTCGGCCTTCCGCCGCTCCATGACGTCCCTAGAAGCCTCCAAGACCACTCCAAGACGGCCCAAGAAGCCTCCAAGAGGGCCCCAAGACGGCCCCACAGGGCGCCCAAGACGGCCCAAGAGGCGCCCAAGACGGCCCACGAGGGCCCCCAGACAGCCTCAAGAAGGGCCCAAGAAGGGGAACGCGAACCGAAAATCCGAGCCTCCGGCCCCAAGAAGCCCCGAGGAGGCCCCCAAGAGGCCCCCCAAGAGGCCTCAAGAGGCTCCCCCCCAGATGCCTAAACGAGGCCCCAAAACGATCCCCAGAGGCCTCAAAACTGCCTCTAGGAGGCTCCCGAGAGGCTTCCCACGAGACCCAAACGAACATCCACGAGGCCTATGACCCACAACCCAGGCACGGCGGCGGGATGGGCCGAAGGCCATTACGTAGATATAGGGGTCGGCGGATGTGGCGCAAGCCTGTAGAATACTATTCTCCTCTCCCCCCGGACTCCGTCCAGAAGATGTTCGACACTCTCCGCGTGCTGTTTTGGATCCACACAGGATTTCGAAAAATGTTTCTGTTGTGTTTCACAATCCAGTTTCCTCCGGTGCTTCAAAATGGTGCTCCCGCTGCAGCGTAGGCCTCGTTTTCAGATCGGCGCTTGCTACTGCAAATCAAAGTGGCGCTCTCGCCCCAGCACGGGCCACTTTTCTGAATCCGAGTCGTTCTTCATCGTTGTCTTTCCTGTCATCGTCGTAGCCCCCTTCATTTCCCCTCCTCCGCCTGCCCCTGGTCCTCCTGTTCCTCCCGCTCCTTCCGCTCCAATTCCTGCTGTTGCTGTTCGTCCGCGTCCCTTTTCTCCCCCTCATCCTCCTGCCCACGCGCCACATCCTCCTCCTCCTCGTCCTCCTCCTCCTCCTCCTCCTCCTCCTCCCTCCTCCTCCTCCTCCTCCTCCTCCTCCTCTCCTCCCCTCCTTGCCTCCTCCTCTGCCCCTGCCTCTCCTCCTCCCTCCTCCCTCCTCCCATCCTCCCTCCTCCCTCCTCCCTCCTCCCTCTCCCTCCCTCCCTCCTCCCTCTCCCTCCTCCCTCCTTCCCCTCCTCCCTCCTCCCTCCTCCTCTCCCTCAACTCCTCCTCCCCTCCTCCCTCCTCCCTCCTCCCTCCTCCCTCCTCCCTCCTCTCCCTCCCTCCTCCTCCCTCATCCCTCCCCCTCCCTCCCTCCTCCCTCCTCTCTCCTCCTCCTCTCCTCCTGCCTCCTCCTCCTCCTCCTCCCCCTTCCTCTCCCCTACTCTTCTCCTCCATCTCTCCTCCGCTCCTCCTCCTGACTCCTCCTCCTCCCTCCTCTATCCTCCGTCTTCCTCCGTCCTCCTCTTCCTTCTCCTCAGTCCTCCTCCTCCTCCTCCTCCTCCTCCTCCTCCTCCTCCTCCTCACCCCCTCGATAAGTTCGCATAGCACGAGGTGTTTCTGCTGTTGGATTGCAGGTCGGCGACCACACGCGTCCGCGGATAGAGAAAAAATGCGCAACGTGGCGCGCGCGCGCACCTGGCCTTTCCTCCCCCCTCTCCATCCCCCCCTCCTCCTCTTCCCCTCTCCTCCTTCCCTTCTTTCTCCTTCCCCTCCTCCTCCTCCTCCTCCTCCTCCTCCTTCCCTCTCCTTCCCTTCCCCCCCTCCTCCTTCTCCTTCCTTCTTCTCCTTCCCCCCCTCCTCCTCCTCCTCCTCCTCCTCCTCCTCCTCCTCCTCCTCCTCCTCCTCCTCCCTCCTCCTTCCCTTCCCTCTCGGCGCGGCTGGGGCAGGGCGAGCTCTCGACTGACCGCGTGGCCGTGGACGGGCCCCGGCGTCTTTCGAGAGGCCGACCACCTAGCCTGGGCGGCAAGGCCTCGGGAAGGAGAGGAGGGAGCACGAGGCACTGTGGGAGGAGAGGGGCCGGGGAGGACGGAGAGGATGGAGAGCAGGAAGGAGGAGAGGGGAGGGGCGAGGATCGAGGAGAAGGTGCACCATGGGGGGATTAGAGAGGAGGAGGGGGAGGAGGGAGGAGAAAGCACGATGGGAGGAGGGAGAAGAGGCATGACAACGCCTCAGGTGATTGCCAGCAGCTGGGAGCCGGGCCAAACTATCATCAGAGGACTTGCGGGGCGCCAGACGTCATGTGCGAAAGTGAATACCGCACCATCCGTCCGCCTGACATCCGCTGATCCCACTTGCCAGGGATGGCAGGGCGCGCGAGACGCTGGCTGCCCTTCTTCTCCCTTTTCCAACACCTCCCAGGAAGTCCAGAATCAGGTTTCCTGAAGGGGGGGCTCGTCAACGCATCTCCCGAACGCTGAGGCCCCCAAGATGGCCGACTATGGCCCCAACGTGGCCGAAGATGTCCCGAGGTGGGCTTCAAGAGTGCCTTATACGGCAGAGGATCGACTGGGAGAAGGAGGTACAGGTGAGGGAGAGGAATGGGGAGGAGAAGGCGGGGAGAAAGGCCGCAGGAACGAAGGCGACCGGAAGAAAGTAACAGGGAGGAGAGAGGGAAGGGAGGAAAGGAGAGGGGGCAAAACAAAACATGGGAACGCGGCACGCAGTGCACTCCCCCGCCTGGGAAATGAAAGCACGCCCCCTCGCCACTGCACCACCGCCCGAGTTTACGTGGGACAAGGGGGGGGGACAGCATTGCCCGTTCTGACGGCGTTGGCCAGGGGGGTGCAGGTAGTGGTAGTGGGGGCGGTCGTGATGGCGATGCCGATGGTAAACTTCCAGCTGGGCAACGAACTCACCACCTGCATGCGAATATGCCTACAAAGAGATGCGGCAACCAACTCGATGCCGCCACGCCAACGGCAAGCGCGGCAGAAGAGGCCAGGCAAGATACAAGGCGAGGAGCTTGAAATGACTGTGGACTGCTACCACCCGGTCAGCCTGCCTTCTCGTCCGTCTGCTCATCTCGCTCTCGCTCGTACACACGCTCGGCAGCACGATGCTCTGCGCAGGCTGGCACTCTCATCCGATTTGGGCGATGGGAGCTGTCAAGCCTAAGCCTGCAGACCTTGCACAGACCCCAGGGACGGGTCGGTGACATGCCGACTGATCGACAACAGAACGAACGAACAAAAGACCCGGGAGGTACAGAGGCGCAGCCGAGACGAAAGACGGCGGGAAGGGTGGGCAAGCAGGCCAGCACCATAGAGGCCTCCTATATGGGGTTGGAGTAGATGTGGTCGGAGGATCGTGCACCGGCGGTGCATCGTCGACGTCGGCGACGTCGACGTGGCGCACATCGGGCTCCACATCCAGCCGCATCGGCGATGCGTCGCCGATACGGCCCGATCCTCCGACCCCATCTACTCCATCTAGGAGGCCTAGAGAATGAGGAAGAGGACCTGGCCCATGGGGTCCAGGATCCAGGTCAAATCCTCCTCCTCCTCCTCCTCCTCCTGCTCCTCCTCCTCCTCCTCCTCCTCCTCCTCCTCCTCCTTGGGGGCAGGCAAGCTCACCGGCCAGCGCTCCAGATCCGCCAAGACAGCCCGAAGCAGACAAGCGGGACGCGCAGAGGCACGAGGAGGCAACCCGGAACGCACGAGGCACGCGCGGCAGCCAGGGCGCGGCCGGCAGCCGCCCCCCAGCAGGGGGCACGCCGCCCCAGGAACAGGAGGAGGAGGAGGAGGAGGAGGAGGAGGAGGAGAAAGAGGAGGAGACAGAGGAAGAGGAGGAGGAGGAGGAGGAGGAGGAGGAGGAGGAGGAGGAAAAAGAGGAGAAGGAGGAGGAGGAGAAAGAGGAGGAGGAGGAGGAGGAGGAGGAGGAGGAGGAGGAGGAGGAGGAGAAAGAGGAGGAGACAGAGGAGGAGGAGGATCATGATCAACGGCGATCGCCGGCCGCCGGCCTGATCCGATCAAGATGGAAGAGCCGACCGGATAGCCTATCCGGGTGCTCGGGCGCGGCATGCACGAGCCTCCCCCCGAACTCCTGCATGGGTGGACGTGAAGGCCCCCAAGGGCCCCCAGCACCGAGCAACGAGCATACCGTCATGCCCCCTGCCCCCGCCCCTGCGCCTCGAGCGTCCCCAGAAGGGCGCCCAAGGCCAGGAACCCCCAGGGGACCTTCCCCCCCGGGCACCTGCTGGACCGGCAACCCCTGCGCCAAGAGGACGCGAGGGGCCCTCGGCCCAGGGGTCCCCCCCCTCCTTCAGCCCCAGGGTGGGCGGGATGGGATCGAACCGGCTGTAAACGCCTGCGGGCGGGCGGACAATCAACCATGTGCTCATGATCCCCTACCTCCCCAACGGACCACCAATAACCTGCCAGGGGTCGAGGATAGGAGGAGGGAGGAGGAGGGAGGGAGGAGGAGGAGGAGGGAGGATGAGAGAAGGAGAAAGAGGAGGAGACAGAGGAGAGGAGGAAGAGACAGAGGAGGAGAAGGAGTATTAGTGAGAAGAGGAGGAGGAGGAGGAGGGGAGGAGGAGGAGGAGAAGGAGGAAGGAAGGAGGAGAGGAGGATGAGGAGAAAGAGGAGGAGGAGGAGGAGGAGGAGAAGGAGGAGCAGCCGGCAAGGGCGAGGGGCAGCGAGGGCCGGGCGGCCTGGCCCCGTGGGGCCCGGGGCCTCGCGCGCAGCGACAGGCACGTCGCAGCAGCCGAAGGCAGGCGGGAGCCAGGGCCTCCTCCTCCCTCCTCCCTCCCTGATCAAACCTCCTCCTTCCCTCCTCCTCCTCCTCCTCCTCTCCCTCCTCCTCCTCCTGCCCCTCCGCCCTCCTCCTCCTCCTCCTTCTCCTCCTCCTTCTCCTCCTCCTCCTCCCTCCTCTTTTCCTCCTCCTCCCTCTCCTCCTCCGCCTCCGCCGCCGCCTTCCTCCTCCTCCTCCTCTCCTCCTCCTCCCTCCTCCTCTCCTCTCCTCCTCATCATCATTTTCCTCCTTCCTCCTCCCCTCCTCCTCCTCATCATCATCATGCATCATCATCATCATCATCATCATCATCATCATCATCATCATCATCATCATCCTCCTCATCCTGCTGCTCCTCCTCCTCCTCCTCCTCCTCCTCCTCTTCCTCCTCCTCCTCCTCCTCATTCTCTTCCTCCTGCTCCATTCCTCCTTGTAGACAACTCCTCCCTGTCGCACCCCGAGGCCAGTTTTTAGAGCGGGCCGGGCGTTTCGCCTGAGCTCCTTAGCGCCGTGCACACTCGTTTTTTAACATTTGCAGTCGGATTGAGGGCGGGTGGATTTCAACATGTGGCTCTCGCCTTAGCGCCGCGCACAAATCGTCTTACAAAAATTACAAGAACTTCACGGATTGAGGGCCGCTCCTTTTCAAAATGTGGCTCTCGCCGTAGCGCCGCGCACATCCGTTTTAAACGGTTGCAAGAGTTTCATGGATTCCCATGATCAACGTATCAAAACTTGTGTTTTGGACGGATTCAAGATTATGCGGGTGCAACAGTCATGTTGGTTCGCAGTGTTGAAATCCAAACAATGGCGTTATGGCACGATTCCGGATCGCCAAGCTACAGCAGTCAGGTTGATACGTGGCGTTATTATCCCGAGAACAATTTTTTGGCATGCTTCAGGATCTTCCGACGGTTGTCTTCAAACGAGGCAGTTCCCTCAATGGAAATGAACCGTTGTAGGGGCCTGTGAAGAGGGAGCTTGGAGGGAGGGTTAATTCCAACATCGTTGATGGCACTTGGGTTTACACTCCTCCTCCTCCTCCTCCTCCTCTCCTCTGGTGGGCAGCGGCCGGAGAGAGGCGCGGCAGCCGAGGGCAAGCCCGAGCAGAGACCCCAGGGGCCACGACGCGACACTCGCGACAGCCAAAAAAAGAGCGGGACGGGGGGACCCCCACGGGCGGGGACCGGGCACACTGACGCGGCAGACAGGTCGAGCGGAAACAGGGCGCTCTGTAGCAACAGCCGAAGCAAGCGGAACCCACGGGCCCAGGAACCCTGGGGCGGCGATGCGAACATCGCAGCGGCCAGAGCAAGCGGGACACGGGACCTTACGGCGGAGGCGATGGGCGAGCCGCGCCAACCAGAGCAAGCGGGGCCCAGGGACCCAGAAGCACTAAAACAACGAGGCGCAAACATCGCACGACGGCGCGCGCGAGCGGGACCCGCCGGGCCTTCAAGGGAGGGGCGGCGGCCGAAAAAGAGACGCCGCGGCAGCCACGGCGAGCGGGATCCGGGGAGCCCTCTTCGGACGGCGACAGGAGGCCTCCAGCGCGGAGGAGCTTGGAGTCCCGAAACGGTGGCGGCGGCAGGCCGTGCGGTGACCTCTCGATACCCCCCCAAAAGCCTCAGCGCACGGTCTGTCGCCGCACGGTCTCTTGGGACCCCGGAGGCCCCCGTCGCCCGAGACGTCCTCGGAGAGGGCCTCGAGTCCCAAAACTGCGCGGGGACCCCGAAGCCCCACCGACTCACCACACGGTGTGGTCGCCACCCCGTTTGGGGGCCCCCGAAGGAGCCGGTTCGCTTCCAGACGAGCGGGACCCCTGGAGAGCGAGCCATGCTCTCGGGGGGCTGCCGAGGGTGTCCATGGCCCAGGGTGCCCCCAGCCCTGCGCTCGACTCGGGAGCCCCTGGGCCCCTCGACAGATATTCGTCGTCCTCTTCTTGCTTCCTCGACGCCATGCTGAAACACTCTGAAACCGCCCAGGCCTACGTCGTGACTGGCGCCCTCCTCCTCCTCCTCCTCCTCCTCCTCCTCCTCCTCATCGAACTACCACGCATCGCCGTGCAGCATACGAGGAGAGGGCCACGCCCTGCGCGCTACACGCAGCTGCACAAAGGTACCCTTCGCCAAACTGCAGGTTCTGTCGACCCCGCGTTTTCCGCAATGCGCCCCTTCCACTCAACTACGGCGTTGCTGAATTTCGCGTTGGCTGGCGCGCTTGAGGGGGAGGGCCCGGGGAAAGGGGGGGAACGGCGACGGCGACGACGACGACGACGACGACGAACGGAGAGCGTCTTCCACACGCCGGCACCTCGAATACCGCAGATATGCGTCCAAGTTTACACGCTTGACGCACTCACTGCTGGCGCCGAAGATCCCTCGACCTTGCTGGCGAACTAATGCTCCCGTCAGCGGCCTGCTGACGTGCAAGGCCATCAACTTGCAGAGGCAGGAGGAGAGTGAAGGACACATGCTTACCAGCGTGGACCCCAAAATGTAAGTTATTGCACTGTGAATGTTCAAGCTCTGTGGTGCAATCAATGTGTTCCTAGTGCAGTCCATGTGGTGGAAGCTACGCGGTGCAAGCTATGTGGTGCAAGCCCTGATGCAACACATGCAGCGCAATCCATGTGGCGGCAAGCTGTGCGGTGCAGGCCACGAGGTGAAGGCTGCTCGGTGCAGGCTGCGCGGTGCAGTCCGTTTGGCGCAGGCTGCGCGGTGCGAGAAGCTCTGCGGTGCAAGCTGCGTGGTGCAAGCGAGCCGCCTGGCGAGAACTGCGCGGTGCCAACCGCACGGCCGCCCGCTGCACGAGGCGCCCACGAGGCGCCGACGCGCGGGCACGCCGCGGAACGTCGGCACACCCGCCCAGCGCACGAGGCTCCGACGAGGCGGCCACCTGGCTTGGGCGTGGCTAATGGGGGGGTCACAAATGGGGGGGTCAAAAAATGGCCCCTTATCGTGCCCCTTTCGGGCCCCTCCAGAGCCCCAGGGGGCTCGTTTAGGTACCATTCGGGTACCTTTTCGGACCACACTCGCCGCCCCCCCACTTACGATCCCCCCATTACGCAGCGCCCAACCTGGCGATCACGGGCGGGCGCCGGGCGAACCCTCGGCATCCTCCTCCTCCTCCTCCTCCTCCTCCTCCTCCTCCTCCTCCTCCTCCTCCCCTTCCTCCCCCTCCTCCTCCTCCTCCTCCTCTTCCTCCTCCTCCTCCTCCTCCTCCTCCTCCCTTCCTCTCCGTCTCCCTATGTCTCTTCCTCGCCTTTCCTCCCGTCCCGTTCTTTCATGGCTCCCAACCATTCGTCCCCTCCACACCGCCCAGCGCACGAAGCGCCCACGAGGCGGCCACGAGCGCCAGGCGGGCACGAGGGCACAGGGCGAAAGCCAGGCACGCCCTCTCCCAGCACGAGGGGCGTCGCTTGAGCTCTGGGGAGGGCGCCCACCAGGCGGGCCCCGGGCGGAACCCCGGCACGCGCCGCCGATACCACAGGAGAGTCGAGCGAAGTCCTCCACGGTACGGCACTCACTTTTGGGGGAAAGCTGGCCCTTCGAGCTCTGTCTCCTTCCCCCTGTGGCAAAAAGACGGACGTGCTCGGTACGCGTCGAGAGAGATACTCGACCGACACCGACTTCTCTCATCGCACGGATGGAAACAGATGAGCACATGGAAAATACTTCTGGAACCAAGCTCAGCCTACCTTGAGGCCACGTGGTCAGCCTGCAGTTGTGATGAAGGCTACTGCGAGGCGAGGCGTCGAAAGCAATCCTAGTATTGGATGCGGCATATTCTGTAGGGTAGGCGCCGAGAAACAAATATCCGAATCATTATAGACTTGGAAGTGCAGCGGTCCGTCGTGGACAATGCACCAGACACAGCGCACGGGCGCTCCTACGTCATTCACTCAAGGCAGTGGTCCAACCTTGCACCGAACAGGTTGAAAACGACCTTAGGCCCTGGCTGGCAGGCCCCGGCATACCCTGCCCCCCCAGGCAAGTAATTCCCAGCAGCCTGGGCCCGCCCCAGAATCCCGTGATACCCCCCACCACGCTCATTACCCGTCGGTCGGAAGAAGTGGGTAAAAACATGAAGTAGGAAGGCGGATGAAGTAGATCGGGTTCAGGCCCTCCCAGAGAATAACGAGCCACAGCAAAAGCATATCGATTCTTGAAATAGGATCGGCGTGTACCAGCAGCAGTGACAGCAGCTGATGACCCTACTGCGCACGCCCCGCTCCTCCGCCCCGACTCCCCTTCTGGTCTCTTTGCGGCAGTTGGCGGGTGCTGCTGCGGCTCTCCTGTGGCCGTCGCGGGGCGGGGCAGGGGGGAGCGCCATCCAGGGCACCAGTGGGGGCCTTTCGAGCGTTCGGGGGGGATTATGGGAACCCCCGTGGGGCAGCTCCAGGCACTATGGAGCCACCTTGGGGCAGGGCAAGCTGTGCCCAGGTGCCTCCGCAGGCTCCCCCACAGGATCCCCTTTTCCGACATCCTCCGCCTCCCTCTCTACGCTCTTCCCTCTCCGCCTGTCCTTTGACCCTGTCCATCACGTCTCGTCCGCTCATGCCCCTGTGCCCCCCCCACTGCGGGGCTCTGGCGGACGTGGCGGACGTGTTCCGGAAGGCGCTGGGTTTCATGTTCAGGCAACACTGGTGTGCACTCGTGGGGAAGTTCTTGTGCTGGTGGGAGGGGAGGAGAGTCGTGGGGATGAGCTGTGGCCCTCGCGGAGCAGCGGCGGTTGTGCACACTGGAGCGCTCTTGAGCGTTAGGGGGGCGGCCTTGGCTCCCTGTGATGGTCTTTTGTGGGCTCCCCGGGCCTGCCGCGAGTCCCCAGGGAGGCTTGCCAGCGCCATCTTGGCCCCACTGAGGCCGTCTTGGGGTCCTGCTGGCATCTCGGCGTCGTATTAAGATCTCTTGGGGCTCTTTCGGCCCGCTGGAGAGCCTCTCAGGGGCCCTCTGGAGCCGTGGCGGGGCAATCTTGGAGGCCTGCAGGGCCCTTGTGGACGCTCTACCAGCCACAAGAGGGGGAGAACTGTGACATATAACAAAGCAAAATTTTGACGAATCAGCGAAGCCGCTTGCTGGGAGCCCCTGGGGCATCCTCCTGGGGCTTTCTCGGAACGTCTTTGGAGCCTCGTCGATCCTCTTAGTGCCATCTTGGGCCATCTTGGCCGTCTTGCCGCAGACGTCCAGGGACTCTTGGGGCTCTTTTGGAAGCCTCTTGGCTTGCGCTCATCTCTCGGGCCAGCTGGAGGGCTTCGTGGGACCCTGTTGGGCCGGCTTGGGACGATCCTGGAGGCCTGAAACCGTCGCAAACGCCATTCAATCAAAAAGAGGCGAGGACGCCCAAAGCAGAACGCATGCAAAATATCAATGATGCTAGCCTGTCGGAGGCCTCTGTGATGTCCTCCTGGGGCCCTCGGAAAGTTTCTTGCGAGCCTGTGCGACCCTCTCGGAGCCATCGTGGGCTATCTTAAAAACTGTCTTGGCTCTCTTGGAAGCCTCTTGGGTTTGGGGGTCGGATAGAAAACCGTGGGTGGTTCTTTTGGGGCGTCCTGGGGCGATCATGGACGCCTCTTGGGCCGTCGTGGACGCTTCGAAAACAAACATGGAGGGAAACCAGACATCGAAACAGCGAAAATGAATTCTCCTGGTCGGGGCCTCTGGACGTACTCTTGGGGCCCTCTCGGAGCTTCTGGGGAGCCTCTTCTCTGGCCCGGCCATCTCGAAGCCATCTCGGTTTTCCCGACAACGCCCTGTGGTGCCCGCGCCCCCACACACCGTCCCGTGTGCCCCTCCGCAGACGTGGGATCCTCCTGCGGAGCTTTGGGCTCACCACGGAGCCACTCCCAAGATGCACGTATGTGTGCAGGCACCCACACATCTACATTTGTTTGGGGAGACGAGGCTAGATGGGAAGCCGTCTGTGCAGACGAAATAGAATTCCGAGCCCCCAAGGTCGCCTCAGCCAGCCTGGGTTTGGCAGAGGGCGACGGCGGCGAGGCTAACCTTCCCTCGCAAACGCTTTCGCGGTCTCACCTCATCCCACATATCCGCCAACCCCAGAGGCGTGTGAAATGAAGGGCCAGGTTAGAGACACTACGTCCTGTTCTCTAGCCCCCCACCCAGTAATTTCCGCGCCCCGCACGGCAATTCCTGGTCTGGAACCCACCCTGACCTTCACACTGCCCCTACCACGTCTGACATCCCCAGACCTCCAGCCCATCCCTCGGGATCTCTGCTCTTGGAACCACCCTCCTGGACCTTCTGTGTGTACTGTTTTAGGGACCATGCACCCTACAAAACAAGACGCTGGGTCCCCACACTCCCTCTGACACCCCCACCCTCCTGGACCTTCTGTGTACTGTTTGAAGGACCCTGCACCCTACGCAGCACCCCGCAATGGCGGATAAGAGTGAGGGGGCGGACGCGGGCGTCGAGCCAGCGGACCTCGTGGCCCGCACCTTCCCTGTCGATGGCACCCTCCTCCTCCTCCTCCTCCTCCTCCTCCTCCTCCTGCTCCTCCTCCTCCTCTTCCTCGTCCGCGTCCTCGTCCTCATCGTCGTCGTCGTCGTCCGCCTCCTCCTCCACCTCATCCTCCTCTTCCTCCTTTTCCTGCTCATCCTCCTCTTCCTCCCCCTCTTTCTCCTCCTCCTCCTCCTCCTCTTCCTCCTCCATCCCGATCCTCACCCCTCCTCCTTTCCGTCGTCGTCGTCGTCCTCCTCCTCCTCCTCCTCCCCCTCCTCCTCCCTCCTTTCTCGTCGTCCCCCTCCGTCCCCCCTCCTTTTCCTCCCATTTCCTCCTCGCCCTCGTCGTCGGCCTCCTCTTCGTCCTCGTACTCGTCGTCGTCGTCGTCGTCGTCGTCGTCGTCGTCGTCGTGCTCCTCGCCCTGCTCCTCCTTCCCTCCTCCGCGGCAGCAGGCAACTGGATTGTCAATGAACGTGTTCAGACACAGCCCCGCCGCAGGCGCCGATGTGTTGTTGTAGAGTCAACGTGGGCCCGATCGGGGGAATGGCACGAGAGCGCTTTCACAAACCAATGCGAGCAAACCCGCCGCAAGCGCCGATTTACGTGCTCTGACAAAATCAGCGCGGGGGGGATCGCTGGTGGGCCACCCGGAACGAATGCAAAAGAAGCCCGCCGCAGGCGCCGAATCTTTGGCTTGTTCAGTGAACGTACTTTGGGTCGCGGGTGGGTCGCGGGCTCTCCACCTCCACCTGAAGGAATTCAGAAACAGCCCGCCGCAGGCGCCGAAAATTTGATTTGTACACTGAACGCGGTTTGGGTCGCAGGTTGTCCTCCTGGAACGAATGCAAAAGAAGCCCGCCGCAGGCGCCAAAGTTGTGGCTTGTTCAGTGAATGTAGTTTGGGTCGCGGGTCGGTCGCGGGCTCTCCACCTCCACCTGGAAGGAATTCAAAAACAGCCCGCCGCAGGCGCCGAAAATTTTGATTTGTACACTGAAAGCGGTCTGGGTCGCGGGTGGGTCGCAGGTTCTCCACCTGATACGAATGCAAAAGAAACCCGCCGCAGGCGCCGAAAATTTTGGGTGGGTCGCAGGGTGGGTCGCGGGTGGCTCGCGGGTGGGTCGCGGTGGACCCCCAAGAAGGCCCAGAGACGCCAAGTAAAAGAGCGTTCGGTAACGCAAAAAGTTTTTCACACCAAGGCTCCCAACAGCGAACGGCCTGAGGCCCACACACGGCCCAGTGACGGACACAGCTTTGACACCAAGGTCCCCGCCCCCATACGCACGACGACGTGAAACGTCTGGGGAAGCCTTCACAGGCTTCCCGCCCAGCTCATGCGCCCAGCCCAAGGCTCCCAGTACGAACGGTGGTGTGCGTAATTTCGGTCAAGTTGCTGCAGCGCCCTTTCCGTTTCCGTGCCGGCCCCAGGTCTGATGGCCCTAATTTTGACAATTTTCGGCCCAAGACGGCCCAAGTCAGCCCTAAGAGCGCCTCTACCTCCAAGACGGCATCGGAGAGGTCCACGAGGGCCCGAACACGGCCCAGGAACGCTTCAAGAGGGCCTAATAATTATGGCGTTGAGACGGCCCAAGAGACTCCCAAGACGCCGCAGGAGGCCCCCAAGGGAGCCCCCAGGAGGCAAAACATCGCCCCATTCCCTCCGAAAAACGTACGTGTTCAGCAGATTAGCTTCTTTGGGCTTCACAGTGTCCAGCCCAGGTGACGGAAAGAGCGGAGCGAGAGACATTTCGTAGGGGGCGAAGCCATTTTGGAGAGGGGGTCCGGCGGAGGGGGCAGGACTGGGCAAATCGGTCTACTGGACAGTTTTCCATTGTTCGAGTGAAGCGGCCCCCGGGCGGCTCCCATGGCCTGCTTCCTCGTATTCTTTAGAATCACGCGGCCCACGGGCCCCAAGACGGCCCAAGAGCTCGGCTCCGAGACGGCCCAAGAGGGCGCGGGGAGGGGAGCAAAGACAAGGAAGGAGGGGAGGAAAGAGGAGCAGGAGGGAACAGAAAAATACGCGATGGGGGGAACGAAGACACGATGGGGAAAGCAAGCGACCCCAAGGGAAAGAACTAAGACTCCGAGGGCACAGAAAGAGACCCCGAGAGGAGGGCGGGGGGGACACCCCGGACCCCACCCCCCCAGCGAGGGGAAGGAAAAAACTCCGAGGGGCAAAAAAGGAAGAGACCACCCCGAACGACATCCGGTGGGGGGGGCCGAACCAAAAACACGGGGGGCGGGGGGAGACCAGAAACGAGCCCGGAGGAGCACGAGGAGGCAGGGGAGGAGGAGGAGGAGGAGGAGGAGGAGGAGGAGGAAGGAGCAGCGACGCCGGAGAAGGCGAGGCAGGAGCGGCAGGGAGGAGACGCGGAGGAGCGGACGGAGCGCAGGGAGGAGACGCGGGCAGGGCCCCGGGAGGGCGGCGGAGGCGGCGAGGCCTCTCGCGCCGCGCGCCGCGCCCGGCCGCGCGCCGCGCCGCGCCCGGCCCTCCTCAGTCGCCGAGCTTCAGGTCGTACTCCGGGCGCCCGGCCTCCGCCCACGCGGCGCGCAGCGCCGCCCGGCCCGGCCCGCCGACGCCGAGCTGGTTGCCGTTGAGGTTGAGCAGCCGCAGCTGGGGCAGCGCGCCCGGGGCGCGCAGGGCCTCCGCCAGCCGCGCGGCGCCCTCGTCGCCCACGCGGTTGTCGTTGAGGTAGAGCACCCGCAGCCGGGGCGCGGCGCCCGAGGCGAGCACGGCGGCCAGCTGCTGCGTCTCCTCGTCCCTCCACTGCAGCTGGTCGTAGCACAGCTCCTTCGCGGCCTCGAAGCGCTGCGCGAAGGCGGAGCGGTAGAGCTCGGCGACCCGGGGCCGGTCGTCCTTGCCGTTGGTGAAGCCCTTGCTCTGCAGCTCCACGTCGAAGGCGTCGGGCAGGAGGGGCGCCCGGCGCCCCGCGCGGCAGGTCTGCAGCAAATCAAACCAGGTCTCCGCTCCCGTGCATCGGCCGAGGTCCAAGAGCCAGTCAGACGGCTTCGTCAGCATCCCCCAGGAGGACTCGCAGAAGCACCAGCCACGGTTGAAGTACTGCTCCGTGTTGCCCGACCGGGTGTACTTTGCAGCATCGCCGTAATCATCTGGAAACCGCGTCAGCATGAAGACGAAAGTTTTGGGGTGGGAGTAGAAGCTCCCCAGGCTCCCCAATGCCTCCTTGAAGAGCGCATGCTCCAGCTCGAAGCGGCCGAGGGCATCGTCCTCGAACGAATCTGAGCCTTCGAGCCGCTGGTAGGTGCGCTGCTGGGGAACGCCCTCGCGGTCCCTGCAGTTTTGATGGATGCAGCAGAAGTCCATGAATACACCCCAGCGGCCACTGTAATAGCCCAGCAGCAGCTGCAGGGCCTGGCCCACGATGCGCAGGTTGTGCCCGCGTGGATCCGGGTGGTTCGCCTGCAGCCAGCAGTGTGATATGCACGCGATGCGCAGATCCGAAGAACTGGCGGCTTTGACGGCGCTGTGGGAAATGAAGGCCGTCGGCGGCAACGCCTGGCGCGGCTCGAGGACGCCGCCAGTGCGCGCTCGCCTCACCATCCACTCCGCGTCCATCAGGACGACCGCTCCACTGCCGAGCACGGGGTCGAGCTCCAGGCCGCCGCAGCTCTCCCACCGTGCCTCGCAAAGAGGGGGGGGGGTCAAAAGATGAGGGGGGGTCACGCCGACGAGGGGAAGAGGAAGGGGGGGAAATCGAGAGGGGGGGATGCAAGGGGAAGCGATGGCGAGAGAGGGGGGAGGGAAATCGAAATCGAGAGGGGGGGTGCAAGGGGAAGCGATGGCGAGACCGAGAGGGCGGCGGGGGAGGGGCCGGATTCCCAGATCGGGGCGGGCAGGGGGCCGGATTCCTGGCAAAGGGGGGCCGGAGGGAGGACCGAAGCGCAGAGGGGCAGGCGCGGAGAGAGGCCCAAGGGGGCGGGGGGCGGAGAGAGGCGGGGGGGGGGGGAAGGCGGCGCTGAGGGCTGGAGCGCCGTGGAATCCGCCAAGCCCTCTGGGCGTAGGTGGTCTAGAACAGATCCTCTTCCACCCCTCCCTCTTCCCCCTTGGGGAGGGGTTTACCCCTCCCCCTACCCCCTCCCCTGGACCTGGACGGAGGGTTCCCCGAGCGGTCGAACGGCTCTTTTGGCCCCAAGATGGCTTCAAGAGCGCGTCAGAGAGCCCAAGATGAGCTCCAAGATGGCTCAAGATAGCGCAAGATCGCTCGAGATGGCTCCTAAGATGGTTCCAAGGGGCCCAAAGACGGCCCCAAGACGGCTCCAAGTGGCCAAAGAGCTCCCCAAGGAGGCCCCGAAGAGGCCAAAATCGTCCCAAAACCTTAGGAAAATCAATGTTTGTTGCTTTCTCCCCGTTTCGCTTCCGATGGCCATCCAAGGCCTCAAGATGGCTCCAAGATGGCCCAAGAGGGCCCCACAAGAGGCCCAAGAGAGCCCCAAGACGGCCCCAGAGCGCCCAAGAGCGCTCCAAGAGCGCCCCAAGAGCGCCCCAAGAGGCGATGTTTGGAGCTCCTGAGGGGGGAGGCTAATTAGGGAACCCCCCTTCGTTGATCGATCTCCTCCAAGATGGCCCCAAGAGCGCCCCTACAGCCCCCAAGAGCGCCCCAAGAGCGCCCCAAGAGGCGCCCAGACGGCCCCAAGAGGCGCCCAAGAGGCCTCCAAGAGGCTCCCAAGAGACCCCCAAGAAGCCTCAAGAAGATCTCCGACATGCATTTAAGACGCTTCTGGCTCTTCGGTTCGCCATCCTCTTCAATCCCACCAGCCCTCTGGGCGTAGGTGGTCTAGAACAGATCCTCTTCCACCCCTCCCTCTTCCCCCTTGGGGAGGGGTTTACCCCTCCCCCTACCCCCTCCCCTGGGCCTGGACGGAGGGTTCCCCGAGCGGTCGAACGGCTCTTTTGGCCCCAATATGGCTTCAAGAGCGCGTCAGAGAGCCCAAGATGAGCTCCAAGATGGCTCAAGATAGCGCAAGATCGCTCGAGATGGCTCCTAAGGTGGTTCCAAGAGGCCCAAAGACGGCCCCAAGACGGCTCCAAGTGGCCAAAGAGCTCCCCAAGGAGGCCCCGAAGAGGCCCAAATCGTCCCAAAACCTTAGGAACATCAATGCTTTGTGCTTTCTCCCCGTTTCGCTTCCGATGGCCATCCAAGGCCTCAAGATGGCTCCAAGATGGCCCAAGAGGGCCCCACAAGAGGCCCAAGAGAGCCCCAAGACGGCCCCAAGAGCGCCCAAGAGCGCTCCAAGAGCGCCCCAAGAGCGCCCCAAGAGGCGATGTTTGGAGCTCCTGAGGGGGGAGGCTAATTAGGGAACCCCCCTTCGTTGATCGATCTCCTCCAAGATGGCCCCAAGAGCGCCCCTACAGCCCCCAAGAGCGCCCCAAGAGCGCCCCAAGAGGCGCCCAGACGGCCCCAAGAGGCGCCCAAGAGGCCTCCAAGAGGCTCCCAAGAGACCCCCAAGAAGCCTCAAGAAGATCTCCGAAATGCATTTAAGACGCTTCTGGCTCTTCGGTTCGCCGTCCTCTTCAATTTCTCATCCCCCTCTTCCTCCTCCTCCTCCTCCTCCTTCTCCTCCTTCTCCTCCTTCTCCTCCCTCTGCTCCTTCTCCTCCTTCTCGTCCTCCTCGTCCTCTCCCTGCTCCACATCCTCCTCCTCATTCTCCTCCTCCTCCTCCTCCTCCTCCTCCTCCCCCTCCCCCTCCCCCTCCGACGAGGATTCCTTCTCCATCCTCCCCCTCTTAGGGTACGTGACAGCTTCTCCCGCCCTTTGTTATTCTGCATGCTCTCCGACTTCCCTGATCACCTCAACTCCCCTGGGCAGCGTTTCTGGATGGGCTGGTGGGGATTTTTTTTACAGCCGCAGGCGGAAGCGCTGGCGGCGAGCAGTCACGGTCGGGTTGCGGCCGCGACTAAATTCCCGGGCGCGCGCGGGGGCCGCGGATCAGGCGGCGGGGGGGGGCAGCAACCCAGGGCGTCTGAGAGGTCAGGCGGTCGTGCAAACTGCAACCCAGGGAGTCTGTAGGGTCAGCCACCCGAGGCGGTCGTGCAAACTGCAACCCAGGGAGTCTGAGAGGACAGTCACCCAGGAGCAAGCCGGGCGCGGCCAAAATGGCGCGCCGTACGTTCCCAGCCGTGGTCGTGCCAGGCGACAACCGCGTAGTGGTGGGAACCAAACTCCGTGCGAGAAAGTCAGTCAAGGGAATCTGACGGGTATGAGCAGACCGAAACTGGCTGACGTCGTCCAGCAAGGAGGGGGATTCTGACAGCGCCAGCGAACCGTCGCAGCTTCAGAAAACGCATCCGCGGCAGATCGGGTGTGCCTGAGGCCGAACAGGCAAAGGCAAACGCCGTACTGCTGAAGATGCGCCTGCAGGCAGCAGACCAGCGGTCTGGTATGCCGCAAAGCAGGAGTACACGGGTACCCACCGTAGGGGCACACGGCCAATCGGAGGGAAGCGTGCACCAGACGACTAAGTGACAGCAGCGCCAAGCGACCCACGCCGCCAGGTCGAGGAAAGCGCCCGGAGGACAGCAACTGTCGTACACCCAAGACAGCAAGTCCTTCACGGTCACAGAGTCCCAGGGAGGATCGCACAACTAAATGCGCGCGGGAGCACTGAAGAAAGACCGAGTGCCCGTCATACGCCGAGACCGTGCAGCGCAGTCCACAGGGTGGTAACGCAACGCAGCGGTGGAAGGCGGCGCTGATCGGGGTCACGTCATCGGCCCAGTCGGTGTAGGGCGCAAGCGGACCAGGTGGGCAGCCCGCCAGCATGGCGGGGCGACCCACGACGATGGCAGCCTGACCTCCGAGTCCCGCGTCGCTCCCAGGAGAGGTAGAGATCACGGCTGAAGGCCGTAGTAACTTGAAGAGCCCAGGGAGGAGTAGAGGCGCAGAACTGGGGACGGGGCGAAAACCACCAAGTCGTCAGCCACAGAGCTGCGCGCCAGGCAGGGCCTGGCAGGTGAAAACAGCTACAGTGGGGCCAGGGGCCACTATGGCCGCACGCAACCCGAGATTGCAATGTGGACGGTATTGCTGGCACACACACTTGGATCCAAAGGCAGGAAGTACGCGTACCAGGAGGGGCGGCAAGATGCCGCAAGCTGGGTCTGTAGTCCAAGGGGCGGCTGAAGGCCGTTGTCTGATTGAGAGGCCCAGGGTTTAAAGCACGTCTCGGGAGTGGGCCTCGGTCGGTCCTGAAGCAGCTTAGCCGAGCACAGGACCGTTCGGGCCACTGGTGAGCACCACTACAGCGTGGCCAGGGGCCAACTAGGGTCTGCGCGCTACGCTCCTCCGCGCAGCGACGCAGATGGTATTGCTGGTCGACACACTTGGGTCCAGAGGCAGGAAGTGCGTGAACCAGGGAGGGAGGCAGCGAGGCTGCCACACGGTTGAGAGAGAAGGGAAGGCAGCTGAAGGCCGCACATATTGTGTAGTAAGATTGACATTTCTGGCTGTCTAGGTGCTGGATGGATGGGAAGGGAGCTCATTATCCCCATCGGTGCCTCTTTTCGCCTCGCTCGTCAGGTCTGCCTCCACCACGCTTGCCTCCCGTCTGCCAACGGTCGTCGTGCCAGGCGTCACTCCAGTCGCTCTGCCAGGCGCCCCAGGTGTCCCAGGAGCTTGCCGCACGGTCTCGCCAGCTGCTCTGCTGGAGGTTGCCTTTGCCCTTGCCGTCGGATCGGGTGTGACGCAGGTACTCGGCCCGCAGCTTGGCCCAATCAATGCGGTAGTTGTACCTCGTGTCCATCAAGTAGGCGTTGTACCCGCAGCCCTTCCAGTCGTCCAGAAACTTGCTGATGGTCGCTTCCGTGTGCAGCCTCGGGTCTGATTTGGGCCCCCTGGATCCAGGGAGCAAAATGCGCTGCGTGTAGGCAGTCCACAGCGCGCAGAATACTGCGCCCAACTCCGACTGGTACCTGGCGAGGCGTTTGGCGGGTGGCTCATCTCGACGCTCCAAGTCCACTGTGCCAAGCCAGACCTTGTACATGGGGCCCCCGTGCGAGTCGGTCAACAGGTTGAGCGTGTGGCGCTCCGTTGAACGAGGGTAGGTAGGTCTGTGTCCAGGGGCCTGTGGGTTGCGTAGTGGGGGACGACGGCTCCGCGCGTCACCCATGTCGCGGGCGTTGTCATCATAATCAGATCCCCTGGCTTCACTGGCATTTTGGCCGGCGCTAACCGGGCCACCCCCGGTAGCAATCGGGTCACGGTCGGAGCTGGGTTCCGAGCTGTCTGCCGTTGGGCTCTGCAGAGGCGCCTTGTCGCCTGGGCCGTTGTCGTCGACCTCCGTGGCAGAGTCCGAGCAGGATACACGAGGAGGAGACTCGCGGGGTTCTCCAAAGTCGGGTGACTCCACTTTCTCCGTAGGAGGGATCACGTCTTCACCGCTCCCGTCCTTGACAGTGTGGTCGGGCGGGTCCGGGAGACCCAGACGCGAGTCGTCGTCTCTCGTGCCCAGGGACTTGTCTGCGTCGGCCGCCGTAAGGGTGCCAGGTCTGTCCTCACTCATGGTCTGCACGCGTGACTCGGCCAAGGAAGTGATGGTCGTCGAGTCGAGGGCATCGGCGCTGAGGCTGAGTCGGAAACTCGTCAGTGTGCCCATTTCGTGTCTAATGGGACTGAGACCACTCGCCTGGGC